GGAAGAGGCTTTGATTAGTTCCAGCTATGCTCATTAGACTTTCCAAAAGCCTAAACTCTGTCTATAAACTGAGTTTTGTCACCTCCCTTATTTGATGTTGTCTTGAATGTCGCAATGGGAGATAAAATGCCGACAGTGTCAAATCTGTCTTCCCAGATGGATGTGCGCTGCTTGAAAGTAAAGCGCCGGTCGTGGTATGCAACGTCAGCAATATTTCACTGACCTTTCCCTTAAAACAATAGTTCCATTATATGGACAGAGCTTCTACCCAATACTTTTGGGCATTTACAAATGCAAAGACCATGCGAACTGAAATTTGCAAGCGCTAGTGAGCCTGTATAAAATACTCCTATACCATCCTTTAGATTTGAAACTCGCCGCTTGTAAATTTGCCCTGTTATTATCATAACTTGGACCTAGCGCATCTTAAGTAAAACAAATTTGTATTCTTCTTAATTAGCACTGTAACAGCCTGAGCGATTATGACCGAGTCCAACAAAGCACGCCAGTCGTTGCTCTTCCATGCCAACTGACGCCGATTGGAAATGCCAAGTGAAGTCAAGTTCTTCTCCATATAGTCTTTCCTCTGCTACCAGCATCGCGACCCGAGTGGAATACTTTCAGACCTGAAGCGTTTCTGTCCATTCGTACAACATGACATAGCCAGAGTAGCAGCTGGTTTGGGTCCCGCCGCGTATAAGCCCCTCCCAATCAAAGCCAACCTGTGGTTTCACTGCACCTCTAGATATATTTTTTATGTAACTTTGGCGTGTGTGTAGCGATGAAATTGAAAAGGCCACCAGTTTTATCCTCGCTATCTCGGTCACTGGTGGTGAAGCTCCCAGCTGCTTGAGTTGCTCTACTCCAAGCCCAAAAATACAAACAGAAAGCGTGTAATTGTTTTCCAACTCGTCTTCATCGCGGCAGTTCCTGCAGGGAAAGCCCCTTGGTATGCTTCATCTTTGGAGCATCAGTGCAACAGCACAGTTTCCTATTTTGATGCTGGAAACTCAAATTTAGATCTATTGAACTTCCGGATTTTCATGTTAAATCTCGGCGATAATGAACTCGAGATCTCATAGTTATGTTGGTCCTTTAAATCGGCTGTAGTTGTAGAGACTTGTTTAGCTCAATTGATGGCACTTCAAAGCCATACCTGCCCAATAATGATAGAATACAAGATTGCGCCAATCGAGCTGAGAGAAACCGGGCGTGACGTCAAAAAATACCAGAATGAGAGAGAAAGGCGAACTCGACAAGAAAAAGAATAAGCATCGAAGAAAACACATTTCGCTTTGGACGAATGATACAAAGTCGTCCCCTCTAGATATTACGCTCAGAAGGAATTTTACATGCATGAGTTACAGAT